ATTGCCTTCTCTCAATTTACAGCCATTCAAGTATTAATCTGTCTTCCTATTTTTGCTACTGAAATGGAATACCTTACACTTATCCACATTATACTGTATATGCCGATTGACTCAGCCTGTCCAAATCTCACTGCAGCATCTCTGCATCCTCCTCACATCTTACGCTTGTACACAGCTATTTGTCATCTGCAAATTTGATATTCAGCTCCCGCATCTATATCATTAACATATATTGTGAACAGCAGAGATCCTAGTACCAATCCCCGCAGTACCCCATTAGTCACTGCCTGCCATTCAGAACAAGACCCATTTATTCCTACTCTTTGTTTCCTGTCTGCTAGCCAATTTTCTATCCATCTCAATGCACTACCCCAATTCCATGCACTTTAATTTTACATTTAATCTCATGTGGGACTTCACCATAAGCCTTCTGACAGTCCAAATGAATCACATCCACTAGCTTAATGACCAACACTACTACTTACATACTCAAAGACTTCCAGTCGATTTGGCAAGCATGATTTCCCATTTTGTAAATCCATGCTGTGTCTGATTCTACCACTGTTTTCCAAGTGCTGTACCATAAAATCCTTGGTAAACTTCCTGACTACTGACGTCAGACTCACTGGTCTGTGATTTGTCCTATTTTCCTTTTAAAATCGTGGGGTTACATTAGATACTCTTCAAACTGTAAGAATTGTTCCAGAGTCTAAAGTTTCTTGGAAGATGACATCAGCATCATCAGCTGCTGCTAGAGATTCCATTATAGTAGAACTGTAGTCGGAAACAGTGTTTTCTTTACCTTCTTTCGTACAACAATTTGTGATTAGTGTGCTGAAAATTCTCACCAGACTGGTTCCAGTGAGGGGGAACTTTAGTGATGAAGATAGTCAAGAACAGAATCATAGAATTTTACAGTACAGAAGGAGGCCATTCAACCCATTGTGTCTGTACCAGATCCCGAAAGAGCTATCCATTGTAGTCCCAGGTAGTCCCATTCTCCAGCCCTATCTTCATAGACCTCTAACTTCATTCTTTTCAAATATATATCCAGTTCTCTTTTGAATCTTCCGATGGAATCCGCCTCCATCACTCTCCCAGGCAGCACATTCGAAACCCTAACAACTTCTGAGTAAAGACATTTCTCATCTCACTTCTAGCTCTCTTGCTTACAACGTGAAATTGTGACCCCTTGTTATTGAGATACTAACTAGTGGAAATAGAATATTCTTCTTTACTCTATCAAAATTGTTCGTAATCTTGAATATCAATAAGGTCACCTCTTAATCTTCTCTGCTCCAAGGAAAACAAGCCCAATATCTCCAATCCTTCTTTGTATCTAAAATATCTCATTCCTGGTATCATTCTAGTAAATCTCCTCTGAATAATCTTCAAGGCTTTAACATCTTTCCTTAAATAAGATGTCTAGAACTGAGCGCAATACTCCAAATATGGCCTGAAAAATTATTTATAGAGATGTAGCATCATTTTTTTTTTTAATACTCTATGCCTCTATTTATAAACACAAGGATCCTATAAGCCCTTTTAACAACTGTTTCAACTTGTCTGCCCAGCTTAGACAATCATGTACGTGAACCCCGAGGTCACTCTGCTGCTATACTCCCCTCAAAGTTGTACCATTAAGCCTGTATTGTCTCTCCATGCTTCTTCTAGCAAAATGCATTACCTCACAATTCTTTGCACTGAATTTCATCTGCCAGGAGTCTGCCCATTTGGCTAAATTGTCCATGGCCCTCTGAGGTTGCTCAGCATCATCCTCACAATTCATTATTCTCCTTAGTGTTATCTGCAAATTTAGAGATTTTGTCCTCAACACCCATCTCCAAATTGTGTATATAAATCAGAAGATGCATGGGTCTCAACGCCAATTCCTCGGGAACACCACTTTCAAGTCATCTCTAACCTGATATATGCCCATCTATACCTAGCATCTTTTTCCCCCTCACTAGCTTTTAATGGTTTTGTCCTTAATGGGAAACACTTGCTGCATCATTGTAAAATTCAATTAACTCTACCACTCCCAGTAGCCCAATTTGAAATAGAATCTGAGCAGGGTCCAAGCTGGTTAACACTCAGATCCTTTCGCCAACTTCTAATCCAGGCTGCCAAGGATTTATTAATCCCAAACATTTCTAATTAATATACAACATCCACAGTACCACCTTCATTTACTGCCTGTCACCTCATCAAAGAACTCAATTACATTTGTCAGACATGACCTGCCGTTGACAAAGCCATGTTGACTGTCTTGAATTAATTTAAGTAGTTGAGATTATTTTCCTCAAAGAGCATTCAGAAAAGGCTTGATAGATGTATTCAAAATCATGGGTAATCTGTACAATGCAGATGGGGGAGGGGGGGGGGAGAGCTGTTGATTCATGAAAGGGTAAAGAGTAGGCAGAGATTTCAAAAATTAGCTAAAAAAGCAAAAACAATTTAAAAAAGCATTATTGTGAAGCAAATTGTCAGGATCAGATATGCGTTGCCTGAAAGTGTGATGGAGGCAGGTTCAATCGAGGCATTTAAAAGTGTGTTAGATAGTTTGAAACAAAAACATTGTGCAGAGTTACAGGGAGCAGGCAGTGAATGCTTTAAGCCAGATAATAACAAAATGCTGTGCACTCCAAAATTGAATCCTTATTTTGTAATACGGTTTCAAAACTAGTTTTGCTCGCCATCTTGAATTAGAATTTTATTAGTTAATGCCACTTTAAAGTCAGAGAGTTAATCAGAAGGGAACTAGGCTGGAATTCTGACAGTTAAACTGTTCAAATTAAAATTGGACTTTTCCACATAATCATAGAATTTTAGGTTTATAACATTTGGGAATTTATAGCTATATTCTAAAATTCTCTCAGCTGCAGAGAAAAAAAAAACTTGAGAGTTGATAGTGCCTGAATCCCCGATGCTCAGATATATTGGCAGAACAATTCAAGACAAAATCATTTCTCAAACTGGGTGGGGGGGGGGGGGGGGGGGGAGGTCGGAGGTCAGCTGAAATATTGCAACATTTTGGTTCTTTTGTAGGTATTTTTAATCAACCTGTTCAGATATGTGATGACACACTTCTGGAGCAAGTGGAACTTGAAACCAAGCCCCCTGATTCAGAGGTAGCAACAGGACTGCTGCACCACATGAGCCTCATGCTTGGTTCTCTTAAATGTTGGACATGATAGAAGTCTTGCAAAAGGCTCAGCTAATAGTGAATGGATTGTTACACTGCTTAAAGACCATTGGGAGGTGACAGCCTTGTGGTATTATCGCTGGACTGTTAATCCAGAGACCCAGATAATGTTCCAGGAAGCCGGGTTCAAATCCTGCCATGGCAGATACTGGAATTTGAATTCAATACATATCTGGAATTAAAAATGTAGTGATGACTGTGAATCCATTGCCAATTATTAGGAAAAACCCATCTGGTTCACTAATGTCCTTTAGGGAAGGTAACATATGACTCGACCCAGCAATGTGGTTAACTCTTAAATTGCCCGATCGGTAATAAATGCTGCCTAGCCAGCAATGCCCTCATCCTGATGAATGAATTTTAAAAAATTACCAAAACAGAGCATACCAGAGATTCTTAAACTGTGGAATAGCAGAGATTTCAGATATTTTAAAATGATAAAAAATAAATTATTAACCTCAATTGAGATAGCAAGGGAAGGAGACTGAAGATTTTAATTGTTACTTACATGAGCACAGCACTAAGTTAGACAGTGAAAAGTCTGTGAATGTTGGAAGAATTTGTTGGTGCATGCAGTGTGTGGGTGCTCCACAACCGTTCAGAAACGAGCCAGATCAGTTTGAGTGCAAAAGATATAAAACCAGATATAAAAAGTTAAGTGGTTCTTTTGCCACTGTGGTCTCCTGTAACTTCCTCTCACAACTTTGAGAGGGGAATGTTCCAGTTTACGCCCTAGACAGTAGAACCAGACTTACACACAAATGAGCTCACGCATCCCAAGTAAACCCACTATGAAAACTTCAGTCACTGCACTAAAGTTACCATTGCACTTTAATAAAAAATATTCTCAAGGAAGCAAGACAGAATGAGCAGTTTGTTACAATATAAATATTGCAGCTTACACATTATGATACATTTATTTGTTCAGATTTGAGAAAACTTAGAAGTAGTGGCATTAAGAACATTTAATAAATAAAAAAAAATCAACATGGAAATGAAACTCCACAACATTAAAAAAAGACAGATTTAATTAAGATGCAAGTTGGTAGGTGATTGATGTTCCAAAGTGGCATTACTTCTTTGCAAAAAAAAAATTCACCGAGTATTTTATGATATTTTGTGCTTTAATGGATGGAATGCGAGCAAGGAAAGGAGAAAAAATTAAGCAGGGAAAATAAAGCTGTGGCTAGATAAGTTCTGAGCCCAGATTGTTTTACTTCTCTTAACATGGTTGCTTGGCTGAGAGCGGGATGGGATGTAAGCCTGCCAAAGTTATGCCTAGCCCAGATGCATGACAGCTCAATTGACTGGTTAGTCATCACCTATCCTTTTCTGCATGTGTACATGTACACATGCAAAAGCTCAGTAGTTGGCTCATGGTTTACTGCCTAGAATTCTTATAATGACATCCCTATGAAAGGACATACTGCAATCCAGTTAATGTAATGAATAGAATACTTCAATGACCACTAGGAATCATGGATTTTTTAATATTTATTTGATTGAGTTATTTAGATTCGGTTTGTTTTATTTTAATAAGGTTGCATGAGTCATGCCCCCCTAACTAGCTTTTAATAGTTTTGTCCTCTTAATGGGAAACACTTGCTGCATCACAGTAAAATTGGATAAACTCTACCATTCCCACTAGCCCAATTTAAAATAGAACCTGAGCCAGGTCTGAGCTGGTTAACACTCAAATGGGAATATCAGACACAGATCACTTTCAAACCTACCTAAATTTAATCCGGCGGTGGAGAACCCTTAGTATTCCCATGGGAGTGGACAATAGCAAGTTGATCTCGCGGCTGATGCAAAGGAAAACTTTGACTTGCATAATCAGGTGACTTATTAGCTATTTTTGCTCAAGGTTTTAAGAGGAGTGCACAATGTATTCTTGAAGCATACTGCTCAAACCAAAACTATCTTCCTTTCGTATTGTGCTCAGTCAACTCTTATGGTATCCGGCCATAATCAGCAGAGGCTGTCCTGGAACTTGTTAAAATCCCCTGGTCATAATTAATTACCATAGTATCCCACAAAACAGAAAAGGATCTAATATAGCTATACACAATCCTCTTGTCTGAGATAGTAAACTGCAAAATATTCTATATTACGCAGGTTGCACAAAATAATTTTGCAGCATATATGTACTAAACGCCCAATCTTTAAATGCTGTAAAAGGAAGGCAATAATTGGCAAATATGAATAAACTATATAAAATATGAATATAATTACATTATATGGTTAGTTCAAGTTTTAAATATTAGAATGTAAACCTAGAAATATGACACTCCAAATCAATAGGATATTCATCCTGCCACTCTACTATAATACAATGCTAGTTCTCCAATTGCAAGAGATTTTAATAGGAGATACTGTTTTAGGAAATGTTTCCAAACAATATTATTTTCATTTTTACTGATTACATATACAATACTATATAGATAGCAAAAGGAATTGTTTGCTCCACTTCCAAATAATATTTTGATCCACCCAGGATGTGATGTGATATCAGTCAGCGATTGGCTTTATTTGTTTTGCAGCTTCAAGCTTGGTTAGTAATTCTTCCCACTGAACAAACTGCTTTGACAGGAGCAGAATCTGAAGGTCATTGTCAAGATGAAACTATCTGTAGAATTCTGAAAGCTCACAAACACAAATTTTAAATATTTACTCCAGATAGGAATTAAATTGCATTCAATAAACCAAGCTGATGAAAATAGCCACTTATTCACGTGCAGCTGAAGCACCAAGTGTCAAAACGAGAAATATGTTAATGACAATTTCATGTCGAAAGTTAGCATGGGGTACGGAGTCACATTAACACTTGAAATGAAATTGCCCTCTTTTGGGCCAAAGCTCAATGCATCTTTAATTTTGTCTCGTATCTGTTGACCTGTCAATGAGACACTTGAAATTTCAGCCCATCAATTCCTTGCAGAAGCTCCTATTCTAATAAGAACATAAAAACCAGGAGCAAGAGTAGGCAATTCTGCCCTTGAGCCTGCTCCACCATTTAATATAAGCATAACTGATCTCATCTCAGCCTCAAATCCAATTTCCTGCCTGCTTTCCATCTGTCTATAACTTCCATAAATATCCCTGCATCCATTGCACTCTGGGATAGTGAATTCCACACACACAACCTTTTGAGAGAAATAATGTCTCCTCACCTGTTTTAAATCTGCTATCCCTTATCCTAAAACGATGACCTCTTGTTCTAGATTGCCCCACGAGGAAACATCCTTTCTACTTCTACTTTGCCAATCCCTTTACCATCTTATATACCTCAATCACATCTCATCTCATTCTTCTAAACTCCAGAAAGTATAGGCCTAAACTGCTCAATCACTCTTAATAAGACAATCTCTGGAATCAATCTAGTGAACTTCCTCCAATGCAACTACAGTCCTCCTCAAATAAGGGGAACAAAATTATATACAGAATTCCAGATGCAGTCTCACTAACGCTTTGTACAGTTGCAGCAACAATTCCCTACTTTTATACACTATTCCTTTAGCAACAAATGCCAAAATTCCAACTTCCCATACTTATTAACTGCTGTACCTGCAAATTAGTTTTCTGCAATTCGTGGATGAGGACACCCAGATCCCTCTGCACCGAAGCATCCTGAAATTTCTCTCTATTTAGATAATAAGTTGTTTTCCTATTCCTCTGGCCAAAATGGATAACCTCACACTTATTTATGTTAAACTTCATATACCAAATTTTAGCCCATTACCTAACCTATTCATGTCCATTTGTAAATTTCTTACGACAACTTACTTCCCTATCTATTCGAGCATCATCTGCAAATTTGGCCATTGTAAATACTAAACACCTTGTTAACAGAATCACATATTCACAACCATCTAGAAATATATTTCACTGATGATACAGTTTAATGAACAAATTATCTAAATGTCATTTGGATTAGCTACAAGTAATGGTTATTTAAACTAAAAAACAGAAAATTGCAGTAAATTTTGAAGTTACGTTAAAGGAGAAAATAAGTCTAATACTGCGGAATTAAGGGTTAATGTAAGGTAAACATTGTTTTTAACTCCGATGTCAACCTGAATATTAAACACATCATGATCAATCCATATTGGGCCCCAAAGCTAATTCAAAATAGTGAAACAAAGAAATGGATTCCGACTATGTAAGAATCACAAGATTACAAGTCTCAAGTCAGGTCTGGGACTAAACAAAACTCCCATCCTACCCCCATATCCAAATGAGTTGCCCTTTAGACTCCTTCAAACCACATAAAGAGGAGTTACCTGTTACTGCAATAAGTGAGAATTCTATTATTAAGTTAATGTGATAGACCATTATGAAAACAGATTGTTGAAACCAAAGGATACCATTTTGTTATAGTTTTCAAGCATCTTGCTTACATCTTCTGTAATCGCGTTACACTGATCCTACAAAAAAACATGAGAAGGAGTTGACAGAAAGAGGATTACTGAGGAAAACAAAGTGACCAATACAAACAATGATTTAAATAAAAGAATAAAAACAAAACAAACATTGAAAGCAAACTTATAATATCAGAAGTTTTACCAGAATTGATTATTAACTGAAAATCATTCTATGCAAGAAAAGCAATTAGAGAAATGCTAAATATTTGCAGTACATACAGTACCTGTTCCTGAATCTGAATCTGGGTCAGTGCTTGCACCTTTGAGGAATAGTTTGGAACAGCTGCAAGTATATAAGCAACAAATTGGATTTTTGCATTATATCATTCATTAGAGAGGTGAATTTGCCCCTAAATATCCAAAGCAATGAGAGGTGGAAAAGACAGCAAGGTTGGGGGTGGGGAGATTGGGCTAAGGGGTAGGAATGGGATAGGACAAGGGCAGTTTTGATGGTAACCAACCTTTACATATCCTTAATCCAATTTTAAGAGCAAACGTGCTTGGAAGACAGTAAAGTTGAAGAAAATGAGAGGCATTGACTGGATAAATAAAGCAGCACTATGATTAAAGACTGACAGGATCGAGTTAAGTGACACACTTTCTCAGGTAATTGCTTGTACTTGCCTTTAATGTGCTCACTCTCAAGATATGGCTGATGCTTTTTAACAGATTCTAAAAGGCGCACTTGAGAGTGGATAAAATGTTCCTCTAATATAAAGAAAACAGAATTAATAAAAAAAAGTCTCTCACATAACGCACACATGTCCTGTTTTCAGAATTAAATGCAAAATAAATATTTTCATATTTAAAACCATTTCCTTAATCAAGACAGGGAATCTAGATTTTATTCATTATGGTCACTGAAACGGCACATGACTAAAACAATTGTCAAATTGGTAATTTTGTTTAATGATCAGGTGATCATTATATAATACATTATACTCTTGATATGAGGGCTCTTCTAGTGCAATGATAGTGTCCCACTCTGGGCCAGAAGGTCTGGATTCAATTCCCACCTGCCCCAGACACATCTCATAACGTGTCTGAACAGGTTGATTAGAAATATCTACATCTAACCTAAATGTAGTGCACTCCTTTAGTGAATGAGCATATGATATAGTCCTCAAAGTTAAGTTGGATTTGCAGCACTACTACAATAACTAATTACTTATCAATTCACCGTTTCCTTCAATTTCACCAATTATCCACTTCCAGATGTAAATAGGAGTTCAACAAACTCATATAAATTACTATTTAGCACTCTGGCTACAACTAAAACGTCAGCAGACATAAAGTGTAGGATGCAAAAATGTCCTGAAACTCAGCTTGTTCCAACCATAACATCATCTGTACATCGCACAAGCTGCTTAAGTAACCCACTGTCAAATTATGATTGACTGTAGATTGCTGAAATGATTTTATTGGTTAATGGTGACATCTTAATGCTGGTGGAGTACAATATTTGCTTATTAGAATATAATAAATACAGTAGTTGAGGATATGAATGTCCTATAATGAATACTTGATTCTTATAAAATTCTGGGCGGCTTGACAGTTGCATACATGTTGTAGACTTTACAACTACTGGTTATACTTTCAGAGTTTGTGTGTGTCTAGTTTCTAAAAATGTTGTGAAAGTTCATTGTATAATGTACCTGTACTCGACATGACATAGTAATAGGCAAATAAAGGGTGTGGTGAGAAAAGAGAGTTGATGTCAAAGATCTGCCATGACGATACTGGATGAGGGAACAGACTTAAAGGATAGTATGGCCAACTTCTGCTTTTATTTATCTTCTCCCTGATGTCTACTGATATATTTGTTAACCAGTCAGCAGTGTATTTTGATTTCTGGAGAAGCTCTTTCATTCACTACTTCAGGTTTTGTGAATTTGAAGGATCAAACAATAATTTTCTAGATTTTAAACTCAAGTAAATGTATCTTTCCCTTTGAAAGCAAAGTTAACTGTGAATGAGTGATCACAGACAATCTGTGAAGTACCTTTGGACATTTAAATTTAAAAGACATCAATTAAATTTTCTTTCTGCACTTCTTTTTTCCCCTCAAAATCTGTCTTAAATCTTAAAAGATGAAAAAGATCATTGTTCCCCTTACCACAACAAATAGACAGTTACCTGCTAGGATGAATTCCAGTTTCATTGCATCTGGGATAGCAATTCTATCAATATACTGAGGGTCCAAGTACTTTATCAGATCATCAACTGAAAATATAGGAATTATACAACAACTAGTTAAATTCTTATATTAAAAGGGAAAAAGAAGCAACTTTTTTGCATTCTACAGGAAGTTGTAATTAGAAACAAAAGTGTCTTTAATATTTTTTGAAAAGGTTGAAATCCAGAATATAAACAGTATACTTAAGGAGTTCTAATGAAATTTGATCAAACATGCAAATTGATAATAGATGATGACAAACGAGGTTTTGCATATTCCTCTGCAAGAGATAATAAGGAGATGTTGAAAAGTTAATTGTTTGATTACATTCCATGACCTAAAAGCTAAAACTTCATTTAGCTTTGATGTACAAACATTACTAGGTGACCAGATGAGCATAAGAATGTTCTTAATCCCTTGAACCTATTCCAACCAGAAATATCATGATGACTTAAACTGTGTTACAGCAGCTTCTTTTACCTTCCCGGAAATCCTGTAACAAAAATCTCTTCAAAGTAAAAGCCGCCAAAGTAAGCATGCTAAAAATGAAGGCAAGACATCCAAACATTACAACTAGAAAGGCAGTCCAACTGTCATGCTATTGTTTGAAATATTTCAGTATAACTTACATTGTATAATAAAAACCATTTATCAGAGATTGTTAGGGCGTACTACTGGTTTACGTTGGGCCATAAAATATTACAATACTGAAACCAACAGGTCATTTTTAAGAGTTTGGACTCTTCACACAAAATACCACCTGCTGAAGTTATGAACCACCTCGGCAAAAGCCTCTTGGACAAGATACTAACTATATTCTCACATAGGAAGTAAAGATCTTTTCTCCTTTAGACTATGGACGGACAGTTGAGACCTACTGTTTGCAGTTTCTGTGACACATGATATTCAGGTTGCTTCATGTATAATAGGGAATGGGGTGTGTGGGAGCTGTCTCCACCTGCTTGAGGCCAAGCTCAGAATTTCCAAATGTTTCCTGATTGTATGTCCTGAGAGATATCCACCCAAACAATGACAGCTCAGGGCAGTCAACGGATAGTCATCCAAAGAGGAGGAACCAGAAATAAATGCAGGAGTCTTTGGGATGTGTACCACTCCCCAACCAGTCCTCAGCATTATCATCATTTTTGGCTGTTTCTAATTAAAGGAGTGCAGTCCAGATCATGGCACCAATGAGCAAATGACTACACAAGGAACTTGGTTGAGGGAGGGTTTGAAAAACAGCCAAGTGCAGAATTGCAGTCATTATACAAGATTTCAGAGTTTAGGGAATAGTCAGACATTTTTATAACTTTCACTGCAGTCCTACATGATTGCTTTTCTAGTTCCAGAACAGAGGACATCATCAAGGAGGTGATATCATTTCTAAAAGTAAGTGAGCCAGAGGTTTTGCTACACAGCCATACCAATGACAGAAAAGGCAGATATTGTGGTCTTAGGGCAGACTTTCAGGGGTTAAGGAGGAAATTAAATAGTATTGTAATTGCACTAAAGTCTGGATTAGTTCCAGCACCAAGCAGCATTATGGTTAAATAGGTAACACAAGACTGGCCGAGTCCTAGTAAGGACAAAGAAAATGGTACATGCTTAGAGGTACAGAGGAAATGAGTATATTTAATGAATACTTTTCATTGATGTTTACCAAGGAACAGGATACTTACAAAATATCAGCAGAAGCAGAGATAATAGGAGTAATTCATCAGCTGAAAACTGACAGGCAGGGCATGCTGGAAAGATTGGTTATTACATTTATTTGGTAAGGCCATTCCTGCATTGAAGCGATTCCTACCGGGTTACACCGAAGTGCTATTGTCGGAAGAGAAATACAGTATCAGGCATTACTGCAAATCATGTAGATCGCGGGACAAGAAGGCCCAGGTCGAGAGTCAGGGCCGCCGGAACACAGACCATCATCCGTTAGCTCCTCTCATATAGTGTCGTAGCACCTAATACTGCCGGCCATAGCTATTGTTACCAAGTCCCCGATGGATATTTTGGAGACTCCAATTTTTCTGAGGTCTGCGGCGCTCTTAGTATGCATGAGACCACGACTTGAGATGATCACTGGAATCTGTTTCATGGTGGTGATACTGTAGCCCAGTGCTATTAGATGTTTCCGTGTAGCGGCTACCACTTCGTCATTTCCATACTTCTCATGTTTCAGAGTCCAAGTCTCATCTAAACGGGATTCAAGGGGAACCGCGATATCAAGTACGTAAGCTGTATTATCCTCAACCAGCAAGATGTCAGGCTTGCAGAATGACGTTTTCAGGGGAATCCTGAGTTCCGTCATCACTTCGCCCGCTGTCACACGCCGCAGGTGTCATACCAGTTGTTTCATGATACGGTTATGCCGCGCACAACGTGCATCATGTGTGACCGAGCAACTCTAGAGTACATGGCTGAGTGTTTCTGGCTTCCCACAGTCACCTCTGCATTTAATGTCCTCAGTTCCAGGGGCACCCCGCGCTCTCCTTACTTTTGTCGAGAGCGACTCACTCCTCAGCTGAGTCGCTCTGATGAATAATCTAGGGAACATCTTTCCATTGTTGGTAACCTACCCATACAAGATCTGGTCAGCTTTGATTCCCCTCAGGGTCTTACAATCGGCGTGGCACATTATACATTCCTTCCAGCCCTCCTTGGCGTCTTGTATGTTATAGATTTCCAACCTCCCAACTCTGCCCATTTTGGACATCTCTCTAATTACGGGCTGAAAGGAATCCAACGTCACCATTGTCCTAACCCAGGGGATTTCCTTTGCCAAAAGTCTCTCCATACTCTTCCCTTTCTCGACTGGTATAATTGTCGACAGGCACAGAATGCCCAGGCCGCCAGTTTAACACCAATTATGCTTATAGCTCTGGAAATAATCCACAAAAAATTCAACAAGTGCTTGGAGAGATTTTAATTAATTAAGGAAAGTCAATGTAGATTTGTAAAAGGTAGATGATCATGCTTGACTAATCAATTTAAACTTATGAATCAAAACCAGAGTAAATGGGATTCTGGGAAAAATTCTCCCCTAGATGGAGTCATACCTGGCACAAAGGAACATGGATGTAGTTATTGAAGGTCAATCAGTTCAGCTCCTGGACATCTCTGCAGGAATGCCACATGGTAACGTCCTAGGTCCAAGCATCTTCAGCTGCTTCATAAGGTCAGAAGTGAAGATGTTTGCTGATGGTTGCACAATGTTAAGTACCATTTGCAATTTCTGAGATACTGAAGCAGTCCCTGATTAAATGCAGCAAGAACTGGACAATATCCAGGCTTGGATTGACGAGTGGTAAGTAACATTCACACCACACAAATACCAGACAATATATATCTCCATTCCTTCAGTGTTGTTGGATCAAAATCCTGGAACTCCCTCCCAGCAGCACTGGACTCTACCCACAGGGCATGAACTGCAGTAGTTCAAGGAAGTGGCTCACCACTATCTTCTTAAGGGCAACTTAAGGATGGATAATTAATGCTGGCCCAGACATTCCATGAGTAAATAAATAAAACAAATTAGCAGACAAGACTAATGAAGATAACACAATGGATACTTCTATATGGGTTTTTTTAAGAAAACAATTGACCAAGTATAGACAATAAGCTTTGTATCAGAATTCAGGCTCAAGGAGCAGGGGGAAGTCACTGTCAATTTGGATAAAAAGGAGGTTAAACAGCAAATGGTAGGAACTTGATTTTCAGACAGGAGGATTGTAGAAGATGGTGTTCTTCGACAGACAAAAACAAAGTTGCTGGAAAAGCTCAGCAGATCTGGCAGCATCTGTGAAGAAAAAAATCAGAGTTAATGTTTCGGGTCTGGTGACCCTTCCTCAGAACTCTTCTTAAAGGGTCAGTGCATGGACCATTGTTGTTTTTGATATATGTAAATACATTTGATATATGTAAATGTGTTTTTTCTTTATTCATTCATGGGATGAGGACGTCACTGATCAGGCAGCATTTATTGCCCATCCCTAATTGCCCAGCGGGCAGTTTAGAGTCAATCACATTGCTGTGGATCTGGAGTCACATGTAGGCCAGACCAGGTAAGATGGCAGTTTCCTTCCCTAAGGGGCATTAGTGAAGCAGATAGGTTTTTCCGACAATCGTATTGAGTTCATGGTCATCATTAGATTCTTAATTCCAGATATTTTATTGAATTGAAATTCCACCATCTGCCGTGGCAGGATTTGAACCTGGGTCCCCAGAACATTATCTGGGTCTCTGGATTAACAGTCCAGCAATAATACCACTAGGCCATTGCCTCCCCTGATATTCCATTGGATATGGAATGCCAAGTAAGTAGGCAAATTTGCCAATGACACTAAACTTGAAGGTGTACCAAACAGTGATGATACCGGTGCCTACTGAAAAGGAATGGTATAGCAAAAAAACGCACAGAAGTCTGAAGTCATGCACGTTGGCAGAAGAAATACAGAGAGGCATGACAGACTTAATGGCACAGTTGTATAAGTGTTCAGTGTTAGAGGTTCCTCGGGTTTGAGATGCCTAGATCTTTGAAATATACTCAGAAAGTAGCTAGCAGAGCATATCAAATTCTGGGCTTCAGTAAATAGATGTATTCTGTACAAAAAACAGGGAAATTATGCTGAAGCTTTATAAAGTTCTGTACAGGCTGCAGTTAGAGGTCTGCACAGTTTTGTTCAACAGTCTAGGAGGTATGTGAAGGACCATGACATGGTTTAGAAAAGACTTACCAGTTCAGGGATGACAGAATATATGTTTTCGCTGTAAAGGTCAGGTTTGAGAAATTGGGGTTGTTTTTCTTGGAGATATCAGGTCAAAAGGAGATAGTGAAGAGATGCACAAGATGATGATTTAGATAAAGGTATACTCTTATTAGCACCTTCTTCCTTGACCAACTTCAAGGAAATATTGGAAAGCCTAATTTCTTTGAGATGCCTTGTGATGTGTAACAGCATTACTCCATCCATTTAAGCACTTATAACTTTAGAGTCAATTGCACAATGTATGAACCGACCACTTCAAACCACTACTGTATTCTTAATTCCCACACATATTTGTCATAAGAAATCCATAAGGATGTTCAATCAATATTCTTTAATGGATAAGATAGGTTCTTTTGCAATACTATAAATGCATTTTGTTTTCCTCAGTGATTGCAACAGCCATTCTTCATAGGCTTATCCAAGTAAATGACTCAAGTCCATTGCCACCTTTGCAACTCAAGTATAATATTTTCATATTCAAAAAGGGATGGTGGTAAAAACGATAACACGGGTAAGTTAACTTAACATCTGCTATTGCAAAATGGTTAAGAGTCTATTACAAAGAACATTATAGCAGAGCATTTAGAGATACGTAACATAATCATAGTCAGTGTGGCTTCAAGGAGTGAAAATCATGCCTCGCAAATGTATCAGAAATCTCTGAAGACGTAACAAGCAAGCTACATAATGGGGAAATCAGTGGGTGCAATATGTTTGGATTTCCAAAATAGAGCCTGCAGGGTGGAGGATAGTATTTTAGCATGGATGCAGGTTGGCTAACTGAAAGAATTAGGAAGGGGGTACATATTCAGGATGGTAACCTGTGACGTGCCAAAGTAAACAATACCAGGGCACAATTATTCATAATTTATATTAATGATTTGAATGACATAAGTGAGTGTATGATTGCCAAGTTTGGGGATGACACAAAAATAAGTGGGAAGGCAAGTGGTGAGGATGAAGCAAAGTGAGTGCAGGGTTTTTGGGACAGGTTGAGTAAAAGGCACTGCAATTTTCAATCAACGATTATCATGTTGATTAGCAGGGTAGGCTCAATGGGCTAAATGGCCTATTCTTGTTCCTATCTTCCTAAAGGTTCAAGAGCTGAAATATTATTTGTTCCTCTCACCACAAAAGCTGCCTGAGCTGCTGTATATTTCCAACATTTGTTTTTATATCTAATAATGTTATTGTGATGATTGGGCATATTCTCCAACACTATTGGATCATTGGAGTTAATTTTATTCTACATAAGCCTCCTGCAAAAAAATGGGGTTTTAGTGCACACATCCAAAACGTTTGCAGATGAACAGCTGAAGCAGTACTTCAGATGAAAACTGTCAACTTTGCAATGACAAAATTTCTTCACCTCTCATGCAAGCCTCACTGTAGCCAACACTTATCTTCAACTTTAACTCTTCTTGGTAAAGGTATAGTAGCCATAGTCCAAGAGGACCAGATGGCTGCATGCTCATTAGAGAGAGATGTCTAGTAGTGGCTTATCTCAACGGTCACCACACCTCAGGCGAGGTCGACAATGCAGGACCTTCATAATAACCTCAGCCAGTACAGGAATTGAACTCACACTGTTGGAGTCACTCTTCACCACAAACAGCCGTCAACCAACTGAGCCTACCAAACCCCCCTACTACTTCCTAGTATAGCTAAGAGCAATAATCACCTGACTGGAAACAGATTTCCAGTACCACCTCCACTGCTAAAGTTGTCACCAACAACTTCGTCTCCTCTTTTCCCTCAACACTCTGTTCTCTATACAGTCTAAAAATGGCCAAGATTGTTTTGCTTCTAAGGGAACTAACATTATTCTACTGTGTGGACTTCCAATTTCTCTTCTTCAGGATCTCAAAAATATGAAAGTTCTTACTTTTCTGTCCTTTGTGCTCTACTATCACAACTTTGAGCCCAAACTTGAAGTTACTTGATTATCACTTCTTGATTCATCTTTTGTCTTTTTTCCCAACTTTTTCATTTATGGGTTTCAAACTCAGGAGGTGTCCTGTAGAGTACTATTTGTTTTCCATCCTTGCTTCTAAATTTTAAAAATGACTTTTAAAAGGAAGTGGATCTAGAGATACCTTTGTGAGCAATAGTAAAATTAAGGATGAAAATATTCAAAAACTCTTTGCAGGCAAGCAAAACATGAAGAATGTAAACTTTAACACAAGTGCAATCCAAATAGTTCAATCTTGCTTTGAACAAAGCAGTCTGTACTTACTCTTCTTATACAAAGTTTTTATCCTCTCTCTTTTGCTGGAAATATTCCCCAGAGCAGCCTGGACTTTTACGATGCCATCTGTAAACTGAAAAACAACAAAGCTGAGTAAATCTCGGGTCAATACTTTTTTTCTTAAATACTGTAATTTTAAATCTGAGCTTTCCATGTACTTTTAGTCAAAGGCTGTAACTGATCTCTAAAAGAAACTAATTTCCAACCAACTTCTATCCCTTTCCAACCGTACTAAGGTAAATGAGGGAAACAGAGTCAAGTTGGGAAGTGGAGCTGAGGTAGAAAGGTAGCCATGAACAATGTGTGCAAAAGGGACTCTACCTCCTATTACATAAAATGTGGATGCCTAGAAATCTGAAATAAAAACAAAATGGTGGAAATAAGCAGCAGATTTGGCATGAAAAATAGAGGTAATGTCTCAGGTCTGTGATGTCTCATCCACATCGGGTAAAATTAGAAAAGCAATAAGTTTTATTTGAGGGTGGTTTGGAGGGTAGGGGTGGAAAAACAGAATAAAAGGGTAGAGCTCCACCCTATCACAAACTACCCTTCTCTCACTTTGTACCTCCTCTCCCTCTTAGAACCAGAATAGAGTACCCCATGATTTCATCACCTGCTCCATTTTCCTCTGCCATATCAGGCATCCTGACACCTTCAAAACATCTTTCCTCTACTTTTGAATATTTTGACCAGGGAAGGTCATGTCTTACCAACTTGATAGAACTCTTTGAGGAAGTGATAAAGTTGATAGATGAGGGAAGGGCTGTAGATGTCACGTACACGGAATTCAGTAAGGCGTTTGATAAGGTTCCCCATGGTAGGCTGATGGAGAAAGTGAAGTCGCATGGGGTCCGGGGTGTACTGGCTAGATGGATAGAGAACTGGCTGGGCAACAGGACACAGAGAGTTGCAATGGAAGGGACTTTCTGTGACCAGTGGTGTTCCACAGGGATCCGTGTTGGGACCACTGTTGTTTGTGATATACATAAATAATCTGGAGGAAGGTATAGATGGTCTGATTGGCAAGTTTGCAGATGACACTAAGATTGGTGGAGTAGCAGATAGTGAAGGGGACTGTCGGAGAATGCAGCAGAATATAGATAGATTGGAGAGTTGGGTGGAGAAATGGCAGATGGAGTTCAATCCAGGCAAATGAGAGGTGATGCATTTTGGAAGATCCAATTCAAGAGCGAACTATACAGTAAATGGAAAAGCCCTGGGGAAAATTGATGCACAGAGAGATCTGGGTGTTCAGGTCCATTGTACCCTGAAGGTGGCAACACAGGTCGATAGCGTGGTCAAGAAGGTATACGGCATGCTTTCATTCATCGGACAGGGTATTGAGTACAAGAGTTGGCAGGTCATGTTACAGTTGTATAGGACTTTGGTTCAACTACATTTGGAATACTGCGTACAGTTCTGGTCGCCACATTACCAAAAGGATGTGGATGCTTTGGAGAGGGTGCAGAGGTGGTTCACCAGGATGTTGCCTGGTATGGAGGGTGCTAGCTATGAAGAGAGGTTGAGTAGATTAGGATTATTTACATTAGAAAGACGGAGGTCAAGGGGGGACCTGACTGAGATCTACAAAATCATGAGAGGTATAGACAGGGTGGATAGCAAGAAGCTTTTTCCCCAGAGTGGGGACTCAATTTACTGGGGGTCACAATTTCAAGGTGAGAGGGGAAAAGTTTAAGGGAGATATGCATGGAAAGTTCTTTATGCAGAGGGTGGTGGGCGCCAGGAACGTGTTGCCAGCAGAGGTGGGCACAATAGCATCATTTAAGATGTATCTAGACAGATACATGAATGGGCAGAGGGCAGAGGGATATGGATCCTTGGAAAATAGGTGACAGGTTTAGATAGAGGATCTGGATCGGCGCAGGCTTGGAGGGTTGAAGGGCCTGTTCCTGTGCTGTAATTTTCTTTGTTCTTTGAAAGTGAAAGGATGAAAAAGAAGCGCATGAATTAAATAGCTTACTTCTACTACCTCTACTTTCTTCTATTTCTCATGATTATTCAGCAAGATTTAACATTCTTATTCTTTCTATTAATGTATTCTATAAGTAAGAAGCTGTCTGATTTTGGCTGTTAGGATTCTAGCATCTGAATTCCTTTCTCTGAATGAAGTGTTGATCACTGTAGCTAAACAGTTTCTCGGAAAGGACATTAATAAGAATCGACAATCATTTTCTGTGCAGTTGGTGAGGAGCATCAGTGTGCACGAGACCTCAGTTGAGTAAAACGAAGACTGAGTGAGATACTGACTGTTCTATTGGAAAACTGGTTCAAATTGGAAAAAGTGGAAAAGAAGGACAGAGGTGCTTTAACTAGGTTCTTTGCAAGAAGTCAATTTTCCAGAGTGACTGACAAGGGGAAAGGACAAAGACGTGGATCGAGAGACCAACCTCCAGTGAAACCAGCTGCTTGGTGAGAATTGTTGAATATTTTTATTCTTTGAAGTAAAAGTAAGGTTTTTAGTTTGTTGGGTCGCTAGTGTTTTACTTCACTATTTTCTTAAAAATAATTGCTCAAGTATTAGATTAATACTGGTGAGATTTTTTCCCTTTAGTTTATAACAAACAAAATATCATTAGATTGAAGTGTAAACAGCAATGAATCTCAACTAATTAATTAAAAGTTAAATCAATTATGGTAATGATGGAAGGACAGATGTTCCTGCTGCAACAGGTGGAAACAGTTGGATACCAAGATGATTCAGAGCAAACATCTGTAGTCAGTCTTTGCAGCTCGAGGAACTTTGGATTCAAGTTGAGGAGCTGGAGCCTGAGTTGCAGGAATTATGCTACCTCAGGAAAGGGGAAAGGATTTGTGAAGAGGCAAAATGTAGACTTACAAAGCAAGAGGATATTGCAGCATTACAGGGCAGCTATTTAAATAACAATATCTATAGTGGGTTAGGAAGGGGCAGAGTCTACAAACATAACAAAACAGCAATAAATAGGGTCAAAAGGGGAAAACAATGATAAAAAGGCAAAATTAATAGCTCTTTAATTGAATGCACATAATATTCTGAAAAAAAAATCAATAAACAGGACAAATACATGTTAAAGGGTCTCATCTTATAATCGTGGCGGAGATGGGATTACAAGGAGAATAAAGCTAGGAACTGAACATTCAGGGGTCTGATTTTTCAGAAGACACTTAGGAAGAAAGGAAAGGATTGTTGTTACAAAATGGAACAAGTACAATTGGAAGAAATAATCTTGGATCAGAAGACTTTGAATCCATATGGGTGGAGGTAAGACGTAAAAGGGGGAAGAAGAGTAGGAGTAGTCTTTAGGGCCCTAACAGTAGTTATGTGGTGGGGTATAGAATAAATCAACATATCATAACAGAATGTACCAAATGCAGCATATTAATTATGGGTGATTTTAATCTTTATGTAACTTGGGATATTCAAATTGGTACAGGAAGGCATGAGGGACAACTCATAATCCATTTGGCTCAGCTTCCTAGAACAGTACATTGTGGTTCCAACAGGTTAGTTTAGATCTGGTGATGTGTAATAGTGTAGGTTTAATAAATAATGTCAGAGTAAAAGATTCCCTCGGAAACAGTGACCACAACATTATAGAGTTTAGCAGTCAGCTTGAGAGGGAAAAACTTGAGTCAGAAACAACTGTTCTAAACTTAAGTAAAGGTAATTACAAAGAAATGAGGGCAGAGCTGGCTGGAGTGGACTAGGGGAAAAGAAGTTTAGCAGCAAAGACGGTTGAGGAACAATGGTAGACATTTAAGAAAATAGTTCATGGCTCACAGCAAAGGCGTATTCTAATGAGGTCGAAGGATTCAAAAGAGGGGATAAGCTAATCATGGTTAACTACAGAAGTTAAAAATAGCATCAAATTGAATGAAAAAGCATACAATGTGACAAAGATTAGTAGTAAGCCAGACGATTGAGAAAGTTTTAAAAACAAACAAAAGATAAACTAAAAAAATGAAGAGGCTGAAAGTAAACTTATAAGTAATATCAAGAGCTTATTTAAATATATATAAGGAAAAATGAAGCCAAAGTGAACATACACCCTTTAGAGAATGGAACTGAGAAACTAATAACAGGGAAACACGAAATGACAACGGAGTTGAATAAATGTTATGCATCAGGCTTCACATGCTTCACACTAAAAGCATTACAAAATTACTAAATAATTGAAGGGCAAAAGGAGGAGAGAAAATAAATACAATAAATGTCATTAGAGGAAAGTGCTTGGGAAATTAGTGAGCTATAGAATGTGAAATCCCCTGGATCTGACAGGATGCATCCTAACATATTAAAGGAAGTAGCTACAACGAAAGTGGATACACTGCTAGTAATCTTCCAGGAGTCCTCAGAAAAGTCCCCCGAAGTACTGGAAAACTGTTAATATAACACCTTTATTTAACAAGGGAAGGAGCCCAAAAAATACATAACAACAGGCCAGTTAAGCTTAACATCTGTTACTGGAAAATTGCTAGACTCTGTTCAAAAGGATGTAATATCAGAGCATTCAGAAATACATAATATGATAAAGCAGAATCATCCTGGCTTCATGAAGGGGAAATCATACCTGACCAATTAACAGAATTATTCTGAGGTGATAACAAAGAACAATACAGCATAGGAACAGGCCCTTTAGCCTTCCACGCCTGCACCAACACATTTTGCCCTTTCATACTAGAACTATCTTCACTTACAGGATCTGTATCCCTCTATTTCCTTCCTACTCCTGTTTTCATCCAGGTGCTTCTTGAAAGCTGCTAATTGTGTTTGCTTCCACCACTTCCTCTGGCAGCGTGTTCCAGGCAGTCACCTACATTTGAGTGAAAACCTTGCCTTGCACATCTCCTTTAAAACATTCACCACCTCCACACATTACACCAGCCGTTCCCCCCCCAAACAATTGACCCCTTCACCCTGGGAAAAAAGCCTCACTGTATCTATGCCATTCGCAATCTTGTATGTTCCAGTACAAACAAACCCAGTCTATCCAACCGAGATGCAGTGCATGTAACATATTTGGATTTTAAGAAGGTGTTTGATAAAGTACCACACATTAGATTATTTAATAA